GAAGCACTCGTCTAATCTTATTTACATACGGCCCCCGACAGTAGAGGAATTATTTCCTGGCTCATTGCTTGATGTCAATCTCCTTTTTCCCGTCCAGGTCATCCGAACTTGGGGCCAATGCAGAGAATGAGTGGCCCTCGTGGCATGGGACCTATGGGGCCGGGCCCTCAGGTAGGTTATTGGACTTAACCTAGAACAATATCCCCCCCTCCCCTGCCTGTACGACCCCAGTTGTGAGTCTGTGCCAGACTGGTTTGTAGATTCATTTGTAAGCTCTTGTAAATTTTGATCCAACAAGTAATTTAGATGTTTTTCTTTTATTTGTCTCTCAGAACTTTGGTGGCGGAATGAGGCCTCCACATAACTCTATGGGTCCCGGTATGCCAGGAGTGAACATGTGAGCCTCTTTTTCACGCGTAAAAGTATTCTCAATGCCTTTTATAAAAAAACTAAATGACATGTATTCATTCACCATCTAGGGGCCCAGGGACCGGTCGCCCATGGCCCAATCCCAACAATGCCAACTCTGTAAGTACTGATGCACAAACGCACACATACACCCGGGAAAAAATGGCCGGTTTGGATTGCAGTCCGTTGGCTCTCAGAGTTGGGATGTAATTGTAGTATTATGTGTCACGGTTTCCGCAATGCTATTAGGTTGATCACGTGGTGCCATTTTATCGAAGGGGTTTGCTGCTCTCACACATTACTGGTGTGTGATGTTTGTGTTTTTTGCTTTCAGATGCCTTACTCATCACCCTCTCCTGGTGCATACGGGGTGAGAACACATCCTAACTTACACATACTGTATGATGGTCGAGGGAACATGTCATTTAAATTCTTTTGCATATAAATGTTGTTCTTTTCTTCATTTCCATCTTTTGTTTTACTCTCTACAGGGTGGATCTGGAGGTGGGGGCCCCCCAGGAACTCCCATCATGCCCAGCCCTGCAGGTTAGTGCTTCCTTAAACTAATCTCTCAACCATTCCCCTTTTCACAAACTCTCCAGTACCAATCACCCGTATGATCGCAACTTTTTACAGACTCAAACAACTCTGGTGACAATTTGTACACCATGATCAACACTGGACCCGGCAACCGAAACAACGTAAGTTCTGTTTCCTCTCTTGTCTACGATGTGGAAGGAGAACAGTTGGCATATGTTTTAAAGGTGGCACACGTTTTTAGAAAATACCTTTACACTTCACTGAAAAGGGACTAACAAGTGACTCAATTGAGCCCAGTCAGGTGTTGTTAGTGAGTCCGTGCTGTCCTGTTTCTCCCCCCCCCCAGTTCCCCATGGGCCCCGGCTCAGACGGACCCCTGGGAGCCATGGCTGGGATGGAACCGCACCACATGAACGGGTCACTAGGTAACGCCGCCAACTACCGCGACACACACACACGTTCTGTGTGCATTAAATTTGATAAGTAGTTTGTCTCCTTCGTCTTTCGTGGTCACAGAATAAAAACATTCTTTTTCATTCTCAGGCTCTGGTGATCTGGATGGAATGAACAAGGTAAATACTGTAACCACGAGTTGTTTTGTTTGCATTTAAAGCTTAATCATGAATATAAATGTAATGATACATAAAAACATTGTGAACCCCTTTTGTTTCCAGAATTCCCCAAACAATTTAAGCGGCATTAGCAATCCTCCTGGGACCCCGCGGGACGACGGGGAGCTGAGTGGAAACTTCCTCCACTCTTTTCAGAGCGAGAACGTGAGTCCCGGCAGAGACCGCCACCGCGCTCTGACGGAGGCAGGGGCTCGTTAGCCCCGCCCACTTCAGGAGCGGCGTGGCGAGGAGGCCCGGCGTCTGTCCGATCCGGGAGACCTCGGTAGTGACACGGTGTGTTTTGTTTGTCTCTTAAAATCGTCTCTTCTCCTGTCCGTGCCTCCACAGTACTCTCCGACCATGACCATGAGCGTGTGACCTCCCCGACCGCCTCCCCTTCCCCCTCCCCGCCCTACATCATATGCCATCATTCCGAGGATCTGAACTCACTATAGGACACGGCCAAACACATCAGCACCGAATCAGGGACGGGCGCCATTTTGGTTCCACGCTAAACGCCAGAATGCTGATCGGAGAAGAATCCAAAAGGCGGGCGACTGCTGCTTCTTGCTCAAAATGAAGGCCTATTTCTCCCACCTATCACAACCCCGAGTGTGACAACCAGCTACTGAAATGCATACATGACACGTTTTATGTTCTTTGCAGAGCCCCCAAAAACCCTCTCGGCCCCCTCAACCCAAGAGCGAAGAGAGAGCGAGAGAAAGAGAGAGAGGGGGGGGGGAGAAAATGGTTGAAGTTTACCTCTTGTACTTTTTAATTATTGCTTTGTGGTGCAAGATGTGCAGGTAATTTCTCCGCTTTTTGTCACTTAAAACACTGGAGAGTGTGCGTATGCATTGTGCGCTCGGAACGTCATTGTCTTGTCTTTTTACTTGTCGCCATGCGTACTGTGTCACAGTTTGACAGAGGACTCCGAATTTGCCTTTTTACTCCGTGGCCACCTTTTCTGAATAACGTACCCAATGCCCGACCTTCTTCTATTTAAAGACGTTTGTATGGGGGATGGGGGGGAAGAGATAGAACGACTTGAAAGTTTACGGCCGTTATTGTGAAAACCTCTTACGGTATGCAAGTGCTCAGATGGCTTTTAAAATGTCCCATCGATCCCGTCCCATCAAACCCAGTCCCCCTCGTAGGGCGGCGGCAACGCGGTCCTGCGCCCTGTCGAAGGGAAACTTTGGCGTAAGACGTGAGTGCATGAATGCTGAGAATCTGTGTACAACATACTACCTAGTGCTGCTCTCCTCTATGTGGACACCTGCTTTGCGATGTGGCGTATATCTCTCTCTCTACCTGTCCTCCGTGCTCTCCATCGCCTCCTGCGTTGGCTGATTTATGATGAGATGTCTGTGAACGAGCGGCCCAGTTGAACCCCTACATAGGTATTGGTTGTTCACACTTGCCTTCTGTGTCATTGGTCGTCCTCTTGCCCCGCCCCTTCTTGCCCGCTCACACATTTTTTTGTTTTTTATATTTTGATACAATCTTTGACTACATATATCGCTCCAGTTATTCAGTTAGTCAAAGCTTTCTAAATGATTCTAGTAGGCGTCATTATAAACTTAGCAGTCTTGTAAATGTGATGATTTTTTTTGTGAACATTACGCATTCTATACATCTGTCCTATGTTGCCTTTATTTGCTATTTTTTTATTTCAAATTGAGGAAAGATTGCTTGTTAATATAATTTTACAATAACTTAATTACACGTGTTGGTTTTCTTCATTGTCCCTTGTACATTCGATATAATGTGCTGTACAACATGCTACTGAAGATGTGAACATGACGGGTAAACTTTAATCCTCAAGAGGGAACTATATTAATATTTATAATATTTGAAGCTGCTGTGGCAACCAGACCAACAGGAGGACGTCCGGGGGGGGCACAGTAGTTCACTTAATAAACTTAATTTTATACGGGAAAAACAAAGATCAAAGTCTGTTAGTTCAGAGATGCTAATATTAAACAATTCTGTTCCTCGCTGATGCAATGAAGGTCGTCTTTTCATCCTTTTAATCAAATTATAGTTCCCACTGCAATCATTCTGCAACATTCAAAGACCTTAATAATAAATACCGTTTTCTATGCCGATAATGAACTTTAACTGAACCTGAAGTGGGAAAGCGAGTTCTTGTTGAGTATTGATGTTTTTTTAATAGGTGTAGCATTTGGATGCATGTGTGCCGTCCAGGGGGTGAGACGGAGGTCGGGTTAACTCTGGTCCCTCCGAGGTTCAGGACCCAACCATGTAGAGCTTTATAGGTCCGATCTACGGTGTGAATGTGTGCGTTCCTGGGAACTTATTCTCTTTTGCTGCATTTTGGTCTGGTTAGATGTTTGAACATCTTACCAGGACTTCCAGTCTGCAGCACATGGCATCTGTAAACCCCGGAGCCATCCGATGCCTCTTTGTAAAAGTAGGTCATTTGTGACAATAGAACAAGGCCTTCATTGAGATACTTTTAGATCACATTAAAAGAAACTAATCATTTTAATTAATACTTGTGGGCCAGCTAGATTCTGAAATTGATTCAAATTTGGCCAGATGGGTCCCTCCAATGTCTGCAAGGCCAAAAGGTCTGAAACTTTCCTGTTGGGAGTAAAAAAATAAAATAAAAAAACATTACCCTCTGGTGGGGGCTGCAGAAGACCCTCACTGCTTTAGAGACCTCTAAATATTTACACTTCATAAACACAAGCGAATACAGTGTGGGCTTTTGGTTTTACTTAGTCACGAGCGAACCGGAGTCCACGGCTGGCAGGATCTGACAGCGCGGCGGTTCCTGCCTGACAAAAGGGAGCGGAGCTGCTCTCCACAGGATGTGGCCTCGCTGGACCGGAGCCAAACCTGCTCTCCAGCTTCAGAGCCACGGAATGGAGCTCATGAAAGAAGGAACAAAAAAACCCCCCTGCTGGTTCACAAACACTCTCTGGTGGTCACTTTGAGGTCAGAGGCTACGATCATGCAGTTTTTTTCATCACGGATAAAGAGTCTTTTAGAGGTTCCATTTTCCCGTCACTTTTACACTAACGAGGCCAGTCGATGCCCAAATCACCACTGATGCAGCTCCTTAACGTTTAGGGAAATGATTTATTTCTGGCATCAAGACCCCCCCCCCCCCCACCAGAGAAAGACATCAACAAAACTTAGCGTTGCATTTTGAGGTCTCAGAAGAACACACGGAAGGATTAAAACCAACAGAGGCCGTACGTTCCCAAGTGAGACCACAAACGCTGGAAGCCTAAAATCAATGGATGTGCAAAGACTGGACAGTTAGATATTAACTTGCATCACAGGTCACTGTTTGTCCGTCTGTCTGTACTTGTTAAACTGACCCACATACACAGCAGGACACTCGCCGGCTTTCACTACCAGACAACACGGCAAACAAAGAATGAATAAACAAACTGCAGTCATATGAAATTGAGAATTTTTTTCAGGAGTATTCTTTCCCAGGTTGCTCTTTATTGTACCATAACGATAACATTATACTTCATCAGAAATGCTGCTACATAAATCGGAGAAGGCCGTTTTTCATGTCATCCATCAGATTACAGTTTCCAGAGGTTTGCACTGTAATCATCATATAAAAAAAACCTACTTCAGTCAATTTATATTGAAGCACTCGTTTAAAAACGGAAAACCTTAAGTGTTGTGAACGGTTTTATTTACTAAACATAATAACTGAACCTGCATGAGAGGTGTGTTCACTGACTTAAAATATTAGTCTTTTACAACTTGAGAGTTTAAGACTATTTAGATGACAAATCTCCAAATGTGGGCTGTCACAAACTCTTGACCGGACTGTCTCTCCGTTTCACTTCATCTGGCTACAGAAGCCGGTTAAACGGTTTAATCTGCAGCCGTCACTCAGAAAGATTGAGAGGAGAGTCCAAACTCAGAGATTGACAGTAGGAGCCGTTTTCCACAAAAGTAAAAATAGGCCTAAAAGCCCCATTAGTGCCATTTTGAATAATATCTTTTAGAGTTAAGAGCAGATATTAAAAAATAGATCTAGCAGTTAACAGATTTAAGTCTTGATATTGTTGGTTAGGATGTTGACGCCCCCATGGCCCGGCTGAACAGAGACGCCCTACAAATTAAACAGGTCACATGCCAAATAGACAAATGACCTTATTCATTCTTCTCCAGGAAAGTACGCACCTCCATTGGATTGTAACCCCAAGGCCCATTGGTGCCCTGGAAAAAAAAGAAATAAACAGGGATATTAATGAGAAAATAACATCATTTAGATACCACTTTCATTACCGACCACAAAGTTAATACCATCAGAAGACATCGCAGGCACGACAGCGACTTTCAAGGACACGCAACTGTACATTTCTGGCACGGCAGAGTGTGAGTCTGGTTCCGTGCCAAGAGTTCCAGCATTGTGTTTGAAGCTTTCCCAGCGCCGCCTCATGCGATAGCGTGACTGCAGAACGCAGATAGCGTCGGGAACTTTACACCCACCATGCGGGTCCGGCTTTCAGTGACACGACAGAAGCGCTCGCCGGAAAAAAAAAAAACTTCCCATCGGCATCCCGTGAAATGGAACCGACAGCGTGATGTGCACGGCTCTCACCTTGTAGGCCACTTTCCCGGCCTGCAGCACGTAAAGCCTCTCGGGGAGGGCGCCGTACTTTATGGCGGACACGTTGCTCATGTCGTCCACGACCACGGGACACAGGGGCTCCTTCTCGACCAGGATCTGTGCTGCAGACAGCCGGTCCTCCAGGGTCTTGTGCTGGTTGATGTCGATGTTGTTGGCAAAGGCCCAACCATCTGACGCAGAAGTTAAGAATGTAACTGCGACCGGAGGCCAAACGCAGCAGGACATTGGGGTTATGGGGCACCTAAATAGTGTTTTATTGCCGTTGCATAAGTGCATACCAGCATCAAGAGTTAAATGAGTGTTATGGAGGGGAATGTAGCCCGGGCAGTTTGGGCGTTACCGCCCCCAAGCACAGAGCTACAATTTCAGGATCTAAAAATGATCTGCTTCTTAAGTGGACATTCAAGTCTTTTGGTTAAACCAATGGCTCAACATGTGACTATTTGTAAACTTTTAAATGCGATGACACGATCCAAAGCTTTTTTTTTCCCCCATTGAAAAAAAAATTAAATCTCCATTCCTGGGATTGAGTCAACATTCAATTGAATTTGGAGGGCCTGCAGGGTTTAAGGAAGCTTTCAGGGCATGCATTCACTTTCCCCTTACGGATTTTGGGATCGCATAGTATCCATGACAACAATGACCCACACCGACCCCTTTACCTGTCACTTACCTGTTGAATGCGCCTCGGCGACGTAGACCACCAGAAAGTCAGCTACGTCGCCGAAGTCCTTGACGAGTTGCTTGAACTCATCAAGTTTGTAGATGAACGGGGGTCAGGTGCAGCTGCCAAAACTCAGCACCAGCGGCCTGTTGCCTGCAGAAGATGTGAAGCTTTAACTCAGGGAGCAGAAAGAAAGGGGTCGCATGCTGGTTGATGCACAAAAAGCTGAAATCTCCTCACGTACCCTTAAAGTAGTTGCAGATGCTCGTTTGCTTTCCCTCCATGTTGACCACCAGCGTGTCCGGAGCTTCTCCCCCCACGAAGGCGTCTTGTCCGAGAGACAACCACATGTGCTGCGAGGCGGTTTTTACGAAAGCAAAAGAGGAAAACGTGAGCCCCCAATCTTCGTACTTGAAGTTGGGATTCTGCGTCGTCGTGACGCGTTCACCCAATTTGAGAATGATCTTCTTGGTGAGACTTGGTGAAATCAAATGCGAAATGAACAGCAGGACATTGATTCCCATCATGAAGCAAAACAAGCCCGCAGTCGACAAATACACCATCAGCCTGTGCCAAGCCATTGTCCCTCCTTTGTGGTGAACTTCCGAGTGCACAGTCTCTCTTACTAAACCCACGACTATAGATTAACACGTCAGTTACCGCCCACCTCTGTGACGTTGCACTTATGTGACAGCTAATGTTAACTTCAAGGACTCTCCCAGAGCTCGTAATTTTCTATACCACAAGTCGCAAATACTTTTTTGTTGTTGTTATGAATGAATTGAAATGTACCTTTCAATCTTACGATAAATACGACTACTTTTGAATATTTCAAAGCTCCCACTTTAGGACGCCTCTGCTGTGAGAGTAAAAGTTAGAAAAACTGTGAATCACGGAGGTCCCTTGCAAACGTTACATTAAGCCGTTAGCTAGTTTTTTGTTCACAAACCTTAAGGGAAAAGTCCTATTTTCACGATCACCCATTTGTTCAACTATACCTGTTTATGAGCATTTCCCGAATACTGCAAATGCAGGGAGAAAAAAACAAATTAAAAATCCTATATATGTCAATATCAGATAAAAAATAATGAAAAGATCACCTATCATTTTATGGATCTAACGTTAACATTTTTTTTTCTCGATTGGGGGAAGATTGAAGAGCTGCACCAATCTAACGTTGCTCACTAGGTAAAATACTACCTAGGGTTAATTATTTAATTATGAACAGTTGCTGGAGATATTCACAAACAGAGACAGAAATACCACAAAATAAACCATGACCAATAACCCTAACGTTAGCTATGAGACGTTACCTGAAACAACGCCCGACCGTGAAGGCAGCAGAGTGTGAGGGAGTTAGCCATTAGCAATGACGTCAGCTATCAACACGTTAGCGAGACCACTTTTAAACTATGTTATATAGTTAAATACTAATGTAATGCTAAGTGACACTGAGCAACATGGCCTCCGACGGCAGTGCTCTTTCTCGCCAGTTAATGAATGTAAGTCTATTCTTTTTTTTTAATGGTACGGTCAACAAACATCTGGAAATGTTTGGCTAACGTTAGCTAACCTTAGGTCAAATGTTTACTCAGTCCTCTGATATTTGATGTTTCTGGCTTGCTGAAATATTTTTATTTTCAGAAAAAAGCCAGTTAAAATCAGGTCATATAAAACTCACATACGTTAAGATACCAATAAGAAAACAGTGAATTTGATCAACATTTTTAACTGCACACAGACTATAATTGCCAGCATCTATACTACCGTAAATGATGTACTTTATTTCCCCCTCCTTCACTCACCTCCTATTCTTGGTAGCACATAACTGACCCAGGCCGACATAGTGTATTAAAAATGGTGCACTGTACTTGATTGGTTAATGCCCACAATCTATATTACTTAAATTGCTTCATGTTGCTTCAAAGTTTCCTTCATGCAGATTGGAGACGGGTACAATATAAGACATCACAGCAGTTCAAGTGACATACAGGCATTTTTAAAAGACCCGAAAAGGCACTTTCAGTACACATCTTGAAAGTTAAATGTGGATCCACTTCTTCTATCCAAAATATTACAATGTCTGTTGAACTACACCTTACTTGTTGTTTCCCCAAAACAGACATTGTTCAACTACATCTGTCTTCATACTGTATGATCACTTGTTTCTGAAAGGTTTCTGTGTTCAAAAGCTCGGTTACACCAACCACACGGTAAAATGCATCAGCAGCTCGTATTTAATGTCAGAGTTTAAATGAAGTGCAGGTTTAAATTTGATTTCTGAGTTTGGTTTTAGCATCAAAAAATAGCAGAACGAAGACAAGTGTCGAGAATGAGCTATTTGCCCTTTGCCCTCCTCGGTTGGACCACATCCATCTTCGAACTTGGGTTTGTTCTATATTAAACTTCTGTGAACACGAATGCAACGCTCACTATCTCAGTGACGAAATCTGTCCGGGCACCGACATATAAACACCTTTTGTAACCTATTTAAAAGTGCCTGTGTGGTAGTTCCTCCTGGTGTCATAATAACACACAAACACACACAGACCCAAAGAAAAATCGTACCAGCGTTGCGGTCGTGGCTGGTAAGTTCCCACTCAAACCATCAATAGATGAGGTTTCGTTCTCTCTTTATCCTGCACGTTTCTCCGGTTCTCCATGTTTCCAACAGCACAAAAAGGCCTCAGATCCAGTATTTCCTGCCTTTCATTGCTTCGCATTGAGGGAACACATCTTTCCCTTCAGTGCTTTTGGCCAGCTTGGATTTTTGAACAATAACAACTCTTGGTGTTGTTAACAGGTTCAACTCTGACCCAAATTTGGATTTTCCCTTCCACCGAAAGGCCACTAAGGGGCGCTGCAGAATAGCGTTTGAGCATCGAGCACCTTAGTAAGACTTGGCTCGTCGTCCCAAATTTAGAATCTAACACCCCAAAGAGATTCTGGTGACTCCGGTGAGATTTTTCTTTTGAAGTCAGAAGTAATAAATCAATAATAAAAAAGTTGAGGATTCATGCAGTTGAAATATTATAGACAGCCTAAACAAATAGTCATCTTTACGTGCCCATTTGATCAATAAACCAATTTCCCATTTTCCTGTATGAGAATCCTGATGCCAATTTTCTCAATAATAATAATTACAGCCGTACAAAGCCGCACGTGCCAAAAAATGTGTTTACATTTTTAAAGACATTTCGTTAAATGTCACCGCGTGGATTTTGGTTCCCATGCATGTTGTGAGTCGAAGCTGGTTGTGCAATGACCCTTTCTGCATGTTTCACACCGAGCCGCAGTAAATGCTGCGAGTCGAGCATCGTGGCACTCGTGCGCAAAGCTCACACCCACGTTCAGAACTGCTGACAGCTGTATCATCCAGATCTTATCCTCTTCATTGGTGCTCCTGAGGGGGGAGAGAGAGGAGGGGGGCGTAAAGAGCGAGAGAGAAAGGGAGGGAGAAGGGGAGAGGGACACACACGGGATGCTGATGACTGATCCGCACTAAGAGGATGCTATCGGCTCGCAGACGCTCTCCTCCTTCGCTCCCATGAACACGCCGATGCGCGCAATGACTAAGGTGGGTGTCAGCGAAGCCCCGGAGCTTAAAAAGTTTTCTCCTCGCCGCGGTCGTGCAGTGCTCGCAGTGATTTGCTCATTTATTCATTCGTGTGTGCGTGTGTGTGTGTTTCGTCTCTTCGTTTCGCGCAGGTAGTGTGAGAAACGGGCCGCGCGCGCGCCGCATGGGAACGCCGACGCACCGATGCAGAACCCCTCCGCGCTGTTCGGGATGCTCAGCCACTGTCAGACCCCGACGACCTTCGCCGACTTCCCCGGCCTGTCGCTCTCCGCGTTCGGCGGCAAGGCGGACGTCTGCCCCCCGCGCAGAGCCGGCGGCAGCGGGGGCTTCGGATCGCTGGTCCGCCGGAGCCCCCACGACGGCCCGACGCACATGAACTGCGCCGGCCAGAAGGCAGTCGGCGCGCCGGGGGAAAAGGCGCACCTGGCCGCCATAGCGCCGCGGTCGTGCCTCTCTTTCCCAGCCGCGCAAGGTAGGGGGGGGGGGGTGCTCTTTAGCTGTTTGGGAGCTCTAAAGTTGTTGGTTCCTGGTGGATGAATTGGAGTAATATTCAATGTACTAATAATTATTGCTATTTAAAAAAAGAATCAACTCTAAAAAACAACAGCAGAATGTGAGTCCCGCTATTTTGACCAATTCGCGCTCTTTATTTGATATGAAATCCATTATCCAAAATAACGTTGCTCCCATATTGCTCTTCAAAGAGCATTATTTGAGGCAGCTGTCCCATATGTTTGTGGATGAGGTCTGTTAATTAGACCCAGAGCTCGCTTGCATCCTCGGCTGATTCATAAATAACAGATTCAAAGTCTCTGTTTGCACACAAATGCCCTGTGAAGGGATGCAGCCTCCAGTCTGGTGCCGAGCTATGTTAACAAGGCAAGGCGGCTTGTAGAGGATTAGGGTGTTGCCTCTTTTAGTTAAATATATGTATGTAACATTTGGTAACTTAATCTAAACAAAAAAAAAAAAATCTTCACAAAATAAAAATAAATCAAAAAATATTGAACACTAATCAAATAGCTCAAAATTCACATTTGATTTAGTACCTTTTCAGAATACTTAAAAAACAAAACAATTACCTATAGATAATATGAGCGCTGTGGTACAGATAGCATGCGGAGCGTCAACTGTCCGTGGAAGCCCTGCTCCTTCCTGTTTACACCGAGTGTTGTTATGAGAGGGCGGAGGTAATTACAGCCCCGTCCTAAATATGATTAGACGGGAACAGACTTTTATATTAGCAATCATCGTTGCAGCAAAAAGAGGATCAACGGATTTGATTATTCTTCCCTCGTGCCAAACACAAACCATATGTCCGCTGAATGTGTCTCAGCATTTATGAGTTCTCTCGGGCGCACAGTTGCGGCCTCAGCATCCCGAAGCGGAATGAATCGTCTCATTGTCTCCGCGACGCTTTTGAACTCGCTTCCCCGTGTATTGTGGGAACGCAAGATGTGTTATGCGTTTGCGGATTATGTCATTGACATCGGAGGAGATGCACGTATCCGTTTGGTCCTGACTGTGTGAGGCAGTTTTAAAAAGATTTTTTTTTCATCATTTCAATATCCAGGGGGTAAATGAATAAAATATTTTTAAGCCGCTCTTTGGAGTGCAACCCCCCCCACCCAAATATACACTTCCTTTAGTACTTCAAAAAAATGATTGGCAGTAATGGTTCAGTAATAAAGTATATTTTGGCACGGCTGATGGTGCCTATCTGAGATCAGCATGCGCTGTGTCGAAGGCGTTTTGCCCTGTTTGGTCTCTTACGCTGAGCGTGTAACTGATCTCTGTGCTCATCAGTCTTTTGTATCATGCCTCATTTCATGCGTTCAAATTACATCCTCCCATTTGGGGGCAGAACTGTAGTTTGACCTGCGTTCTGTGGATTTATACTGAAAGGAATCTTTGAACAAACACAGACTGGAATATTTATCCTGACGGAGACACTGCAGGAAGAACTCACCTCGCATGGGAGGTTTTATGACCTTTTAACGGTGCATCCTTTGACTGTAAAATATGAACAATTACTACACAGGAATTCATTGTCCGGCTGATGTTTCATTGATTTTGTGCCACGGTGTGTTCTGAGATGTTTGCATTGAGTGCTGTCCTGTTGGTTTTCTAATTACTAAGGATGTAAATAACGCTATGTGTTTGAGGGAAGTTTGTATGCGTCCGCGTGTATTTGTGAGGGAGACGGCTTGCGTGTTAATGACGCCCGTGCGTTACAGAGCTGGAGTGCCGCCGTGTGAGTCGACTTTGTGCTCGCTTAGATCCTTATTTCACTTGCCAGGTATCTTTAACGAGGGAAAAAATACTCCTTGCATTTGCTGTGCCGTTGCATTAAAAAAAAAAAAAAAAAAGTCCTCTAGCTAAACGATGGCATTCCTTCATTATTTTTCCTCACGTCACGTCGTGAGCTGCGGCACACCGGGGGCCTTGCGCTTCGTGTTGCTCTTGCTCGTGTGCGGAGCGCCGGCTGATCGTCCGCACGCCGCCGCGGGCCCACTGTGCTTTAAACACGAGGGCCCACCAGCAACGAAAATATTTGTCTTTCGAAGAAAAACACTTGACCTCTCTTGAAAAAAAGAATATCAGGTTTGAACGGCGTGTGTACTCATTGGATACCACGCTGAAGTTTCTCCTGGCTGGGACAGAGCTGTCGAGAGTGTGTGTGTGTGTGTGTGTGTGAGCTTATTTGGGGGAAATGTTTTAGTTCGCGGAGTGTGTCGGAGTCCCAGACTGTCTCCGACTAACGCCGAGGCCCCGTCTGTTGACTCAGCCTGTAAAGAGATGAGTAATGGGATGTTTGGATTCCATCATTTTTACACCTCTACGTCTTGTTTCGTTGTTGTCTTTTGCCAGCGCACATTAGAGTGACATGTTTTCTACAGACGTTGCATTTTCCACATGCGGCGCGCACACCTGCATGCAAGCACGCAACACCGTGCCAGAACACGAGCAACGCGGTGCACTGAGCACATCTGCCGCACACAAAAAGGACACACTTTTGTTGTGTGTGTGGTGAAGTGGCATTGGCACCAATGTTGAGTTTCCTCAAAATGACCTAGTTTCCTGTGTTTTCCCACAGCAGCATTTTGTAGACGTCAGGCCGCGGGGCGATAATCTGACTGTTATGAGAAACAACCGACCATTACAGCCCCGCTTTGAGCCTCGGCCGTGCCGAGCGCTTAATGACAGCTTACCAGCAGCTCGTGAATAGTTTTGGTCGTGTGTGCAGAGAGGAACACATTAAGTGCTTTTGGTGAGGTCTCAAATTCCGTCAAACTATGAGGTTTATTTATTATTATTCTGTAGTCTGGAAAGAGGAGTCATTATTTCTTTCGCTGTGACTTTGAAATCGAAATGTTCTCTTCTGTCATTTATTGATGTTGAAGAGCAATTGATGATGCACATGTTCAAAAATTATACTTATTATTCCTCATAGATATGGCACAAGGGAACTGGGGTTCACATTTGAAATATCATTTACATAAAAATAATGGTTCCAATGCATTCTCCGGGCAGCAGAGACTTTCATCTAGTACATTTCAGATTTCCCTCTCACGTAAAATGTTTATACAGCTATAACTCTGAAAGGGTTTTTTTTTTGCCCAGAGTTTGCCTCTGATGTATCATATTATTTATTCGTCCTGGAATGTTTCTCAGTATTTCCGTTCTACCAACGTTGCTGAATCAGAGCTATGACGGTCGTCTGTGTCAATGATCAAAGAGCTCAAGTGGTCTAGATCTTGACAAAAGGCATCGCTAATGGAACGATGGATCCCGGGGGAGGAGGAAGGGGGGTGTGATTCAGCAGTTGACGCAGTTTAAATATTTACTGTGGATGTTTGACCACAGTTTAAATCAATCCTGTGCTCTGGACTAAACCCGAGCGCCGTACAGATGTTCTCACACAGTGCTGAGTCAGTCATTCTTCGGATGGTGTCACCGTCTGGTTTGGCAATCTTATCCCTGAAATTAAAAAAGTCCAGAATTTGATATGAGGACCAGGGGTCAAACCAAAAGATCTTAAGCCTCCAATATCTTCACTGGGTATATTTAAAGAGGTTAAACCTGGCTTACGTGGAGCAACATACAAGGTGGTGGCAGCGAGGGAAGGTCACAGCAGCTGCGCCGCGTGCTTTTTTTCAACTTTAAAACCCGCCGGATACTTTCCCCACTTTCTGCATCCGTGCAACTGAAGCCAGTGGAGCTGCACAAGGGATGCGGGCCTGATGGTGGATCTCAAAGTAGCACAGAGATGGCAACCTTCTCACAAGTGTTCTCGCCAGTCGGTACTTTCCCACGAGCCAAGGAGAGCTCATCATCTCACGTCTTTAGTTTCTGCAATGACCTCAGCAGTGAGTTATGGGGCAAACGCGAGGATGGAAGGTCGTTTGCAGCATGTTCCATCGCTTCATAAAGCCCAGGCCCGCTGATGATTCCCCACCGGCATTCCCGTAAAAAAACCTCTGTCTGGAAGAGAGGGAATGCCGGGTAATGGAGTGAGCGCGCCTCCTGAGTCACGGCCACTGGAGAAGGAGAGCTCTGCGGGTCAGGCATCTGCTCGGCTGAATCACCGTACGCAGGAGGTGTGCACAAACGTGTTGCGTCACCCCCACCGGGGGAGGGGTGTGGCTGTTGCGCGCTTTCCGATTGGTCCCCTGAAGTTTCAAAAAGAACATGTGCACTTGTGAGGCCGCAAACAAACGTTAATCGCCGCCCGCCTTCCCCTTAGCAGGTCAAGTCTTCTCATTCCTATCTGACCAGTGTGGTGCGGCCGTTGCATCTCTCTGAAACCAACGGAATTCTGACTCCAATTAGGTCAAAGAATCCGACCAGTCACACAACAAAAATCTGATCTGCTTTGAGTAAGTGTGGAACTGGAATACCAGAATAAATGGTCTCTGGGCTGTTTGCTCAGATATGTATGTCATAATAAAAATGTATTTTTAGTCCAAGCTTTGCCCTGAGAAGTGCTTGAAAGGTTGCTCACAATGCAGGTTTAAGAACAAGCGGCCAGGTCTTTGTGAATTCTACCAGATTTGACTTTTTCCCTTATTTTTAGTAGAGATACCTATTTGTAATTTGTGACACGCCACAGCTGACCACACGTCTATAGAGTCTGTATTACTCGCACATTTTCAGACAGCAGCAGCTCCTCTCGCAGACCTCTGTGTGCATGACGGTTGGGTTCTTGATTTTCATCTGGGCTGTGCCACTTGCTGTTCTTGGCTCGGCGCTGCTGTGTTTCATCAAAGAGGAATCCGCTCCGCTCCGACTGCGGCAGTTGAGACGGCCGCTCGCCTCGGCTTCTGCCAGAGCTGAGAACGAGAGAGAGGGGCTTTGAAAAGAAACGTCCAAATACGTTGGCACAAACAATATTTTTTTGAAAACTGTCTTTGGAAAAACGGTCAAAAAGAAAACCAAGGAGGATACAGTCAAAATAATGTCACAGAGAAA